TATCTTTTAATTGTACAATGTCATTATAAACACATTTACTTTTAACAATGACATGACACAATTAAAAATATAATTAATTGTCAGTATAAAAGAATTTTATAATAACAATATATAGGTAATTAACTCGTAAAAAAAATATGAAGTTATTCTCCTCTAAGGAGAGATAGGACTACGATTACACCCCCAAACGGATGGGGAGCGGGAATTGGAGAATATTTTGATGATTGGTGGAGCGGGAGAAAATGTATTCGATATTTGAATTAATAAAATACATTTTTATCAAATCATGTAAAAAAAAATAAAAATAAGTGTTCTAATGTGACCATCCTATTCGTGACTAGACCCAAACAAATAATGCAACTTCAACTCCTAATTCCAAGCCATCCAATCCCTTACTCGCTTATTCCAATATCAAATCATGTTATTCACTTTCTCTGCCATAGCGAATGCCTTCTTGCATCATCCACCATCAACACTGCCCCCACTAACCATTGACTACCTTCAACCCCTTGTCTACATAACCATAATATTAATCTCTACGTTTAATATAGATAAAGATGACCAAAGGATATTTTTATATTTTTATTTTTGTAATTATTTTATAGAAATTAAAACAAGAGATCTTATTTTAAATATTGAAAATATATGAGTTAACTTTTTTTTATAAAAAAAGTGCAGATTTTATAAAGTTGTGAAGAGTTTCATTCATAATATTGTATTGATTATATATATAATATTTTACTAAAATCATAGACAATAAGTACAATTTTAATATGAGATTATTTTTTTATAAGTTGTGTTATACTTTATTTTATCCAAAATTACAGTATAATTGAGAATTTAGACAACTTGATTTACAATTTATTGTTGATATTAGTGTCGAAAATGTGTCGAGGTAGGTTTAACTCGACTTGATATGATAATATTTCACTTAATTCAAAATTTGATTCAAATTTGACCTAAACCATTTTTTTCAATTGAACCCAACTCGATTTAGGTTTATTAATAGTTCGGTTAAACTCGTTAGCTCGTAATCAAATCACATGAATTAAAAGTAAAATTATGCTTGAATAGCAATAACCATGTCCTACTAGTGTAAATTAGTCTTTAATTGTCAATATTGCAACATTGCGTGAACCATCTCCATATATAAAAAAAAATTAATCTTGTACATTTTAAAATTTCAATTTATTAGTAAAATTTAGAAAAATGATTTTTATTTTTTGAAAAGATAAAATATAAATTATTCTATTAACTTTGCAAAGTTATAAATTATGCCTAAAAAATATATAATTACAAAAGTTTACATAAATTAAATCTATTCCGCCATGTATATAAAAAAAAAAAAAGTTTGTAACCATGAAATTATAATATGTCAGCTTCTTTTATTATTATTAACTTATGACTAAATTTTGAAAGTTCTTTCAAAATTTAATAAGTTAAAATTAAATAAAAAATCAATTATATAAATTATATATTTATAAGTCGAATCGATTCATGAATCAAAGATGCTAAACCATACTCAACTTAAATTTAACCATTTATTTATTGAACTCAATTTTTAACTCAAGTACATATTATTAAATTTATAAATCAAATTCAACGAGTTAATTATTAAATTAAACTATTTTTCAATCCTTTGAACCTCATTATCACTTGTAATTAGCGTTAAAAAAAGACATATTTAGCTGTTATCTATACGGCTAAATGTAGTAAAAAAATTAAAAGCTCAAAAAAATATACAAGATATTTATTAATTGGATTTTTATTGTGTCCACGGATACATGACATATAAAAAGTTAAAAATAAAACAATTCAATGGAAAATAAAATATTTTTTATACCAAAAACATTAAATTGATTTAGTTTTTTTTAATTAATTTAAAACATTTAATAAGATATATTTAATAATTTTATACTATGTGTGTGTTTATGAGCACAAATAATTTTTTTTTATTAATTTACTTATTACACTGTCTTATTACAAATAAATGCAGAAACTTAATAAAAACCATCACTTAAAAATGTTAGTTTTAGGTGTTTCTTTCCATCTATTGTTTCCTTTCTAAAATCTTAATCCCAAGATTTCGGACACATTAATCAACAAAAAATATCTTAAAAAGAAAATTTTTAACTTAAAAAATTATTACATATATTGAATTTTAAATTTCAATTTCTTATTCCTAATTAAAACATTAAACTAAAATTAGTAAATCAAACACTTTCGTAATCATTAACAAGTCGAAGGAAGACAAATGATCACAAGGCATATAATTGCTGATCATAATATATATATATATTATGGGGCATGTGATTTTGGTTCTAGTTCCTCGCTCTATATATGAAGAAGAAAAGGCTTCAAATGCAAGTAGGTATAAAGCAAAAGAAGGAATGAAAAGAACGTCATTCGTGATCTCATATGGACCAATTATTATGGTAATTAATTGACTACTGAGTACAACGATTTGGTTTGACGTCAAATAGCGATACTCCATGGCCATGCTTTATATATATATATATACGATAATCTATTATTCAATATTAGTAATTTAGATTTTGTTCTTACTACTAAGGTGAATTGATCAGTACTCATCTTTGATCTTTGATTTAGATTTTGGTTGGGAAATACTTTTTAAATCTGGTTTTGAATCAAATTAACTACTCTAAAGACTATGAATAAATTTAGAGTTGTTAGTTGAATAAGTTCTTAAACTTAATGTAGGGTCACTAAGTTGATAAATAGGGAAATCATTTATTGAGTTATACTCCTTAGAATTTCTAAATATAAGGAATTGATTTGAAATAACACCAATGAACTCAATAACATTGAATGATATAAATTATATATAAATGTCTTAGGAGCACATAAGGGTCAGATCGGTGAAGTTTAATCCCAACAACTTTTCCAATTGTAATCTTCCTATGTTACTATTATTTTATTTACAATCTTTTCATAATTCCATTATCGAGATATGGAAAGTCATGTTTATAATATCTATGAAATTTTTTATTTTAAGCTTTTACTAAAATATCATAAATTATAAGTATCTTCCAAGTCCTTGAGGTTCGATAACCTATATTTAATTCCTATACTATAATGACTTCGTGCGTTTGCCTTAAAATCTCATCACAAGACTATTATTTAAAATAAAATAAAATTTTTAATTGTGGGTAGTGACACTCGTTTTACACATATATTGGTTCATTCGACTCTAGTTCCACTTCTTCTGAGTCGTTTTAAAACAAATTATGTGGTAGGGGTGGCGTTATGTTGACTAGTGAGACTGCCATTGACTCTCCCAAATTGATAATATGTTTAAAAACAACCCTATTTATGTAATATGTTTGCATAAAGATCCCCTTTAGGTCAAAAAACCTTCAAAAAGTCCAGGAACAAGCCATACAAAATTAGTTATGGCACTCAATTTCGTATACTATTTTTTTAAAATCAATTGATACTTGGTTTTAAAAATTTCTCTCTACAAAATCATTGAAAATAAAATGAGTTGTAGAATTGATTTTCTAGCTCCAAAATAATTGTTTATGTAGCCCTTTATTTTCCATATATATATATATATATA